TGAACAGGCTTTCTGACATCTCTGTGTCGCCATTGCTGCAGCTATAGTTTTTGTCCTGTTTAGCAAGCGTTATGAGGTATCACCTTAGGTGAAATTTGTCCGTTTTCACTGCGGTGTTCACTCATGTTCCCTTTTCTCCAGAGAGGAACACGAGAGTGTCTTCCTGTGGCCGCTGCGAGTGGTCTGAGCCTCAGACGGCCGCTGGTGAAGAATGTGAGGATATCCCTTGCTTCGCTTCGCACGGAGACAGAATTAGCTGCCTATGTGCGCCAAGTCAGGCTTTGCATTGTGCAGGATTAGTCACCCGTGCCAGAGAGCTCAGGCCACGACAAGACAGACAGCAGTCTGGGGGGAAAAAAAAGATCTGACTACTAAGAAAACCAGCCAGTTTTTTTTCATGTATCCACCACAGGAGTTATAATTTGAGCATCGTTAGACTACTTATTATTTCCAATAAAGCCTGGAAGGTTTTGTGGATGGAAATAGTATCAAAGCTAACATTTAAGATCAAGTTTTTAATTTAAAAAAAAGCGGTGCCTATTTATAGTGTCTGTTGCCTAGTTACAGTTACTTATAGAGTGACAATTTGTTTTTAACTTTCAGATTTTTGAAAATAATGCTGGAGGACAAATAAGCCACCTTCCCTTGACTCCAAGTAGCTGTGAGGTGAGAGTTGCACCACTGTTCTAGAATTCTAGAACTTAACACTTCTTTTAAGTGTTTCTTTGGCCTCTTCCAACAAGGGACAAGGTAGGAAAATAGTCAAGTCAGTGCTTCTAGAAGTCATTTAAAATGTTTTTTTAATTGATGGACTGAATGGTGAGCTCTTTAATTAGTCCTGTGGCTTCTTAACATTTTTTATGTCAGAGTTTTAATACTGCTACACAAGTATTGTTTTCTTCAGCACCCAGTTAGGTCTGTAAAAGAAGTGGTAAGTATGTATAAATGGGTATTTTCGCATTGACTGATATTTATATCGGTTTTTTTGTGTGTCAGTAAGAGAAATTAGTTGAGGTTTTCCAGAACAATCCATAGGATAAAAGAGGCTGTATGGATATATGTGCCTATATCATTTAGTCATTTGAACAAAGTGTAAGAAAATTAAACACTTGTCTAAAAATGCATTTTATTTAATGGGGCCATAATGAAACTGGTCTTATGCAAATGTGCGGCACTAGAGTCTTAAAAGTTTGAGCACTACTCACCTTGGTTTTAGAAACAGTCTGTGGAGTTCCTCAAATGAAGGCTGATAGTTTGTCTCTAATTGGTTTTCATGGTTCTAGATGGGCATTCTGAAGAATGCCGGGTAAAACATCAGCTTTAGCTTCTGCAGCTCCAGTGACAAATGCAGAGACTGCGGTCCGTTTGGACAGGAATGCAGTACAAGATCAAAGCGGGGACTTTTTCTTTTCATGTCTGCAGCTTCTGCTCCAGTCTGAAACCTGTACAGAATGTCTGTAAAACAGCAGCCTTTGAACAAGCTTATCACTTCCAAAATCTGTGAAAAAAGATAAAGATATTCTGGGGACTCAATGTTCTAGTGGAATTTGGCAAATGAATCCTACTTTGGCAAAAGGACTTTGCAAAGTTACAAAAGCGCATCCTAACAGCTGTACTGTAAAAACTCAAGACTGTAACCAGTTTTCATCACTTTGACGTGAAAGTAGCAGATATATTTTCAGGAGGATGAAATGTATTGGCTTATATCCAGGAAGGGAAGGGGGCTGGTAAGTTTTTGCTTGTGTGACAAACCTAATCATCCGTTACACAGCATGCCTGAACTTTTTAACTTTTCCATTCAACAGATGTGTTAAATGCACAGTAAGGATCACAGCAGTGTCTTGAAGCATTTTTAACTGTCTGTGACCAGCAATTTTTCCCTCTCGTAAAAGAGGCGCCATGCATGACTATCTAAACTTTCTGAGTGATCGCGGCTTGTGAGATGTATGGTTTGCTGTTGAACCGTGCTTAGCAATCGCTGCTCATCATAGTTGTGTCTCTGTTTGTAAGATCCTGCATTTGGAAATAGACATTTAAAAGAGACAGACTGGCTCACATTGTGACTTTGGCTGCTTACACAAGGGGGTTACTTAAAAAGGCCATATTTCCTCCAGCTGTCTCAGAATTAGAGCTTTGCATCGTTTTTAAGGGTGTCTTGGGTTCCATACTTGTCTCAAGACACAATGCTCCATATTATTGCAACCAGGATGGCTTGAAATATTGCCAAAAATTGATATTATTAAAAGGGCTAACTAGTTGAAGGGTACTACAGACGTGGACATTGATAGAAGCTCAAAGGTTGTGTTTCATTGGGCTGGCTTGAAAGTTAATTTTTCATTTTTATTCAAGTCGAACTCTTGCCTCCCTGCACAGTTTTTTTTTTCTCTCCAGCACGAGTTTGTATTTTTTGAAGAATGGAGCTTCTATCAGACATGACGTAAGATCTGGAAATGTCCGTTCATGCCCCGTTGCGTAATTTATTATTATTTCCTTAAAAAGATCTGGAAGGGCCAGCGCCTTTGCGCATTTGGCCGAAGTGGCCCCCAGGATCCGCTTCCCGATGGAATTTTTTTCCGTGCTCTGTTGAGGGTTTTTTTTTCTCCTCCTAGGTGCCAGAAATATTAGGAGCCATCAATTATTTCTGGCTCTGCAGACCACAAAAGGGGGAATCCGCTGCCTTAACGCTGGCTTGTGACGGGTAGGATTAGGCACTGAGCAGCTGTCATAACGCCCTGGCGATGTGTTGACACGGTGCTGCAGTACCAGCAAGCCCCGCCGCGTGCAGACTCGCTTGCAGACGGGGCGCCGACGCGAGCCTTTCTTCAGCAAGAATCCGGTTGTTTTTACCGCAGACTCTTCTCTACCGTCGAGGGACCGGGGTTTTTTTTTCCTCCATTCTTTCGATGCCGTTACGCCACCGAACGGTCGTTTTGCTTTGTGTTTTTTTGAGATGAGGCGAACTGCCGAGTCGCTCCTTACCGTCTTTGTCATCCTGCTGCTGAACAGCTACAGTATTTCACTCCTCCCCAACTTCCTTCAGCAAAACTGAAATGAATTGCTCTTTAGGTTTTGAAACCACTTGTCAATAAACCCACATTTGGAGAACTCCAGGGTTTTAAAAATCATTAAACTGATTAATATCATTGCTTGTAGTATTAACGGTATTTTGTCTTGTTAGTACGGTGTACAGTACTAATATTTAGTAGTAGTACAAAGGGGTTAGCAGATAAGTAGTGTTTAAAAAAAAAAAAGTTGGGCTTATTTTCAGGTGACTTGTACCCGTGTAACTACATTGTTTAGAGAAGAAAGTGGTTTTACAGCTTAATTTTTAAATCTTTTTTTCATTAAACATTTTAAAGCTACATTCACTTTAGTATGTTTGTATAGATTTTGAGATTGTCACGTTCTTCAGTGGCCTAGTTTATACACCAGCCAGAGGGGTTGTTAGTGGAGGACCGTGTTTTGCTTGTTCCTGAAGTCAGATGAGAGTTTCAGACTTTTCAGCTCAGAGTTTGCTCTTCTCTGCTTTAACTTTTTGCTAGATATGGGCTGGAGATTGTCATTCTCCAAGATGTTTTCTGTGGAAGGAAAATCTGAAGTACAGTACTGGTTAAAACTCATCACAAATGCCACAGCATTACACATCACAATCTATGCGTTTTGGCTGCTTTTGTGGAAATTTGGATGGACTGTTACAACTCTGTGGCAGTGAATGAATGCACAGTACTCTGGTATTAGTCAAGTGGTGGTTAAGAAAGAGATGCAGTCTGGTAACTGGTGGCAACAGAACTTTCCAGTAATGCAACTGTAGATGGATGACAGTTATACATTGTTTTGTTTTTTCCTGTAGGGAGGGAGGCATTGAATGTTACCCCACTTTCTCTTTTGGACAAACATTACCTCAGAAATATAACAGCACGTAAAGTGATTTCACAATAGTGAACCTTTGTCAGTGTCATGAAAAGTTGTTGACACAAATTTAACAGTAATGCCTCTGGCCCTTGTTTTGGCATGGTTTGTAAGGCTTTCATTTGGCTGTATTTTCAGGGATATGAATCTCAATGTTTTTTACGGGTTTTTTTTTTCCCACCGCTGAGCAGTTGAGCACTTTGTTTTCACTTGCCATTGGGTGTGCGTGTGTTAGGTTTGTTTCCATGAGCTCCAAAATGAAATAAAGAAGCTTTATCCCTAGACTCGCACTGCCTGGTTTTAAATTTAAGTGTGGATAGAGAGTGTTTGACTCGGGTCTTAGTACAAGAAGAAGGGCCACAATGCATTTTTTCCCTCTTTGTCAAGGTTCTGTTAAAAACACTGTTGGAAGCCTTCAACATTTAGAAGCATTTTCAAATAAAAGAATAAGACAATTTGTTGGTGATGCGATCGTATGTCTACGTCTTGCAAGATGAAATAACAGAGTAAACTTTGGTCAAACCCCAGCATTACGGACAATTGTTCGGCTTCCCCATGTCTTGCAGATGGAAACAAGAGAATTAAGTGACGTGAAAGGTGGTTTGAAAAGTGCTGGACATTCTGGTTGTCTTTACTCACCAATAGTGGAAGGCAAAACCATTTAACTTTTTTTTTCCCCTTCTTAACTATTCCCCCCTTTCCCCCCTCACGAGCATTTTGTGCCTGTGGTGAGGTCAGAATTCACAGGTAGTGGAGGCACAGTAATAAAGTTACTGTTGCACCAAAAAGGAGGGCTTGCCAACTGTTAGGTTCACTGTTCCGGGTTCCTACAGTGTGAAACATGGGAATCCCAAAGTCAGAACGGTAGGACGTCAGCAGCTTGCCGCTCTGTAGACTGATCCCATCCGATCTTGCTAGTTAAGCAGGGTCACGCCGGATCAGTACTGGGAGAGGAGACCTCCCAGGGCAAACCAGGCTGGTCTCGCCTCCTGGCCGGAAGGTACAACCCAAAGCACCGTATGATGACCAGGGACAATGTACTATAGAAGGTGCCGTCCTTCAGATGAAATGTTAAGCCAGGCTCCTGGCTGCTTTTTTTTTTCATTTAAGATCCTATGGAGCAGTTTGAAAGAATGCAGAGGTGAATGTATTAACCCAGGCGTTTAAAATCGACTGTAGGCTTAGTCAGTCTGGTCTTCCTAAAGTTCCCCTTAATTCAGCTGCTGAAGCCAGTATTTACTTCCTTGCCTGGTTTGCCTAGCGGGGCTGCTGGCGCAGAAGGGCTGAACTTCAGTAGGTCCCCTCCTGTGTTTGAAGCGCTTTGGGATCCTTTGGGGATAAACGTACTACACAAATGCGAGGAATTGTTCTTGTTGTTATTGTTAGTAATAATAACACAAACCATCCTCTTTAGCAACCAGAACCTGGCTACAGATTTTACAGTGATCCGTATCTGCCACTTGAGCTTTCTAAGTGAACTGCATCTAAAAGATGCTTCTTCATTGGAAATCCTTTAACGGAGGAGCACCTTACAAGCTAATTCACATGTAGACGAAACTATGTACAGTACTATTACTTCTAAATACTGGATAGGTAAAAACCTACCTGAACCTTTGATACCAGCGACCATCTTGTTTGTGTCTTTTTTTTCTTCAATTACAGTACCTCTCTTCTTTGCTCTTTCAACAGAGATTAGATGGCTCAGCCAGTCTGCATTGCACAGCACCCCTAGAGAGCAGCCACTGGGACACTGCTTTGGAAACTCCAGTCTACATCTACATGCCTGACAACCAAGCCGTCACAGTGCCTATAAAACAGGACCACATGGTTGTGGATGTGCTTTCCCTTGCATGTAAGGTGAGCAGAGAGAGAGGAGTTTATGGAAGTTCAGCACACGCAGCTTGTCATAGATGTGACAACTCAGTAACGTATTGCAACACAGCAAGACACGGGATGAAGATTACAGAGCCCTCTTCTGCCCTGGCGACCTGCCGATAGTGGTCTTCATTTTCTTTCAGCTCCACAGTCCAGAGCCTTTAGTGAATATCACCCGTGTACATCGTGTAATCGATAATGTTTTTGTTTTCATGATAGGACATACCTATTTTTGAGGTTTCACTATGGTGAAATGTTTTTTAAGCTTGTCTTGTCTTCTGTCCTTTTTATTCTGGACTATTGATGTCTTTCTGCTGCAGGTGCCCACAGTTTATTACACATTATCATGCTTCGTGTTCTGTAAGTTACCGTGTTTGTCCTGTGATTTCATGCACGTACTGCACGTTGACCAGGGTCCTGCGGAGAAAGCTTTTATTAGGAGCAGCGAATGTGATGCTAACATGAACATCCTTGGGAAGCCAGTTCCTGGGGAGGAGAGATTGCAGAAACACACTTTCTCATGGGAAAAAGCTGACATTTTCAGTGTTTATTTTTGGCCCCTTTTCATGGATGTGGCCAAGGTCTTTCCCAAACTGTACAGAAAAGAAAACATTTTTTTTCCCACATACTTTGAGCAAGTTATTTGGTAGCTCTGAGGTAAAAACCTCTTCAGTAACGAGACATTGTTTTATCGTTGGGAGAAAAATAGCCCACGATGGTCTCGTTCCAGTGCTACACAGAGGCGTTTAAGAACTCGATCTCTGTGCTTTACACGAAACACTGCATTGTGAAAAATGTTGACTAAAAATAGCAAGTGAGTAAGAGGTTCAGGAAAGCCCAAAAAGAAAGGTTAACACAGAGTATTCAGGCCAGTCCAAAGCCCAGACCCCAATATGCACAGGATTATATATATTATCCTTGTTTCAATTGTCTCTTTTGATGCACATCTGTACTTACAAGCTCCTAACCTGCTTGTCTCAACAAAAGTATAACCCTATGTCTAGCAGTCTTTGAAACAGTTTCATTATTTGACCTTCCTTCCTGTGCCTGTTCATGTGTTGAACACTTAGAATTTCTGGATGTTATGTATATGTCTGAACAGACGTGTGATGAAAAATTTCTTCTTTTTAAGAATGCAAACACGACCAAAACGGTTGTTGTGCTATACCTTGTGTCTGTATGGTCATCTCTCAAATGAAGCATAAGTACAGCTAGGAAAATAAACTGACCCCTTAAAAATAGAGAGAAATATCCAGGTGATTTGTCCAAAGGCACAGATCATTGTTACTGTATGTTGGGAAGGAAAAAGTAAAACCCAGGTGTAGTTCCGAATCGCACCACTAGATGCCGCTTAAGACTTTCTGTTCTGTGAGCGTTGGCTCTGGACGTGGATGTCAATAATATTACTGTTGGGAGTGCAGAATGAGATCCTTCTTAAGTATTTCTAAGTCTCCGTCACTCAAGGACAGAGCCTGAAGAGCATGATTTATTTGGATGAATGCTGCGAGAACTTGAAATTGTGTGATATTGAAATGTTCTATTCTATGTGACCTGTAAAAGGGGAGATGTGGGAATACATTCACGGGCACAAGTTATTAAAATTACATTGTGTTAAAATGCAGAATTAGTTTTATAATGTAAGTCATCACTTTTTTTTCTCAGTTGCAAGATTCGATAAATGTTATTATTGTATTTTTTTCGTGATGGTTTCTTAAATAGCGCAGTTTAAGTTCAGGACTGCCGAATACAGGATGTTTTGAGATGCCAACACTTGAAAAATGCTGCAGTATTCTGTTGACATTTACAGGGTATGCAGAAATGTGAAGATTGCCTGTTTAGAAAGATCTGCTGTTATTTCGGAGCGATTAGTCTTGCAATGTTTTCATTTCTGTAACGGATACCAAAAATGTGATTGCATTTTGTTTGCTAGAACCAGCTGCATTGCATTATCCCAGGCATATGAATAAATTGAAGCCCAGTGTAAGATGAAAGGGTACTGTTCAATGATATGTAAGGGGGAACTGAAGACTTTGAGCAAATATCTGTTCTTTGTGCTACAGAAGAAGCAACTAGACCCAGGCAGGCACTGTCTGCGCCTTCGGAGAACAGTGGGGCAGAACGTAGAGCTCAGCACCCCCGCGTCCAACGAGTTCATCCAGGACCTGGTGAGACTCTGTACAAGATCAGCACCAAACTGCAGCGTTGGGTCATTCTGTCCTCTGCTGCTGTTTGGGACTGAAAGCAAAGGTTGTTGTGGGATGGTTCCATGAAAAGTGATTGGGGTTCAAATGAAATTTTTTAATCATAATAAAGTAATTCCTTATACTTATATAACACTTTTCTGGACACTACACTCAAAGTGCTTTACAGGTGTTGGGGATCCCCTCCACCTCCACCAGTGTGAAGCCTCACCTGGATGATGTGACGGCAGCCATAGCACACCAGTACACTCACCACACACCAGCTCTCAGTGGGGAGGAGAGCAGAGTGATGAGGCCAGTTCAGAGATGGGGATAATTAGGAGGCCATGTAAAGGCCAGGGGGAAATTTGGCAAGGAAGCCGGGGTAGCACTCCTGAGAAACAAGAAACACCCTGAGATTTTTAATGACCACAGAGAGTCAGAGCCTCGGTTTTATGTCTCATTGGAAGGACGGCGCCTGTTTTACAGTATAGTGTCCCCGTCACTATACTGGGGCATTAGGACCCACATGGACCGCAGGCTGAGTGCCCCCTGCTGGCCCCACTAACACCTCTTCCAGCAGCAACCTTAGTTTTTCCCAGGAGTCTCCCATCCAGGTACTGACCAGGCTCACACCTGCTGAGCTTCAGTGGGCTGCCCGTTGTGAGTTTCTGAGTGATATGGCTGCTGGTTAGGGTTAGGCTTAGGTAAATAGGCTGTTAAATCTAGTAACCCGTGTTTGTGGTTTGATTTTGTAAACCCAGTTTCCTAGTTCTCTTTCGAATTAAAGCTTTTCTGGTGACATGACTTAATTGACATGGCTGTGAATGTGCTTCTCCAAGTATCAGAGCAGAATTAGATAATTGGTTGTATGAACAAGAGATGGGTGGGGCTTTCTTCTGTGCTTGTTGTACAGGGGCATGTTGTACCAGCAACCTGCCAGACTGCAGTGAAATGAGTAAGAGACATGACACTCCTCCAGGTGGTGCTCAGTTCCCTGTAAGACACTGTGTAGCTTGCAGTGTAGCAAATGACAAATGGCCCAGACTGGTGGGCATGTTGGAGGAGGGGGTGCACAAGTCCTCGTTACTTTGTTATAAATGGGTTCTCATAGCAGCAAGTTAAGCTAAAAAATAATTGGAGATTTCAAATTGGAATGGGCATTAAACAAAAAAATAGTACCTGCAACTTTTTGGTCATTCTTACTATTTTAATGAAGTTTCTTTTCATTTTTACAGGTGTATGATGAATTAGAAATTATACCTCTGAATCTTTACCAGTTGCTCCTGTCCAGGTCTCCAAGTACAGTGGACTTTGGTAAGTTCCAGAGAAGTAACCCTGTCTAGCTCTCGGATTGTGGAGATGCACTGGAAAAACTGGCAACAATTTTGGAGCTGTTCATTATAAATCAAAGGAACTGTCTGAAATTGCAACTTAGAAAAAAAGCATTAAAAAACTAGTCTAAAAATGAGAGGTAATTAACTCTTGTTTTGCTGTTACTATAAAGGGCAGCACGGTGGCGCTGTGGTCAGCATTGCATTGCTGCCTCAGTGTTTGGGCCCTGGGTTCAATTTCAGACCTGGTGTGCCCTCTGCGTGGAGTTTGTATGTTCTCCATGGGTTTGCATTTTTCTGTTTTCCCTCCACAGTCTGCAAACTGGAAGGTTAATTGGCTTCTGTGAAAATTGGACCGTTTGTGCGTGCGTGCGCACTGTAATGGACTGGCGTCCCATCCGAGGTGTATCCTGCCTTGACCCGTTGTTTGCTGGGATAGGCCCCAGCTCCTCCCGGACCCAGAATTAGACGTACCGTTCAGAATTGGCTGGATGGATGTTACTATAAAGAATGGGCTTGGCAGAAGTTTCCACTTTCATTTATTGAACACAGACTTGCTGGACAGTCACTGTCCTGCGCACCCTGCATGTCAGCTTATTGATTATGGCTGTGTCTGCTGTGCTCTTGCATTCTCTATGTGCAATATGTGCAATGGGCTGCGTGCTGTGTTGCAGGATTTGCGGTCACTGGTCATGTGGACGGGTTCAGGAACAGCCGGATATTCGTCAGTGAAGTGCTTCCCGATGGAGTGGCATCCAGCGAAGGTAGATCTTTTAATCTTGGTGCCCCGTTACACTCCGTTCTCGGTAAGACTAAGAGGTATACAGTATGTTCTGCAGTGCGTTGTTGTGCTGTCTATGCGTAGTTATACATTATGCGTAGTTATATATTAGTTGATTTGCGAGGCGGTCAAGAACAACTGCAAGCTGCAAGTCACAGCTTCTCCCTTTGACTTTGGAACGGCGGTGATAAAGCCTGTATTGGACAAGAATGAAGGAAGCCACGGAGAGCTGGGCATCTCGAATGCCATGAGGTTTACTGCTTGAGAGTCCAGCCCCTCTGGGGAGCAGAGAGTTGCTGTAGTACTAATCTCACAGCTGTTTCACGTTATTTTGAAACGGGAATTTTTCTGACTGGCCTTGCGAGACCTAAAGACCTAGAAATCCAAAGATCCGAGTACGCCTGGCCAAAATAAATAAACGTGGCAAGCAGAATAAGGTATATAGGTAAGAGATGACCAGTTGGATTCTTTTTTTTCCTGTTTCAAGTATTTTAGCCTGAAGTGGAGGAGAAAAGCAATTGCTTCCATTATTTTTTCCGTTTTCTGCGTAAACAGCAGTCCATTGATACCTCACATTAGGAAAGCTGCAGCGCTGAGGCTATTTATAGAGCACAAAAAGAAAACTGTTTTCAGCTGCATGACCTAATGGTGCAGGATTTAAAAAAAAAAAACAGCTGGGCCATTTTTGGGGGGTGAAAACAAGAGTGCATTCAGTTCCGAGGTGTTTTTTTAAATTAGGTTAGTCCCACAGTAAACACCGCCGTGCAGTGACTCACGGAACTGTTTCTGCCCGTTCCCGAGGGCTGCAGTTGTTCCTCATTTGCCCACGCCGTGCTTGCAGGGCTGCGGCCGGGGGACGAGATCCTGGTGCTCAACGGAAGGAGCGTGTCGACCCTGGACCTGGGGCTGATCCAGACTCTGTTCAGCGAGCAGGCGCTGAACATGACCCTTCGGAGAGATTCCCCCTCAGGCCTGTGGCAGGGATCCGCCTGGCCTGCGGCCGAGACCAGGGACCCAGCCCCGCCCTTTCCTCCCCCGGGTCAGTTCCTGGAGGACCTGCTTGAGAGCCACACCACACCGCCCTCTGCCGGTGAGTCCCTTCCTTCCTCTTCCACCCCTCCTGCAGCAGCACAGGCCGTCCGGTTTAATCTCCCGGCATCTCAGTGCCCACGGCATTACAGTGGGCACAGTCAAGAATTTTCTTTTAATAATCCAAAAGGAGTAAATTCGGAAGCCGTTGGTGCCACTTTTCTAGCAGTGGCCTGAGCTTGGGGTAATACGTGTAGGCTGGAAAATTGTTAATGTCCACTTATAAAAACTATAAAACTGAACCAAGTAGTTACTGAGCCATATGTCAGACTTCAACATGTCAGGTTATGGAAAATATAGGACATACTGTAGTCAACATGGATTAAGAGCAGGTCAAGTCTTGTTAAGTTAATGTGTTGAAGATCTTTGAACAAGAAACAACAACAAGAGAGTCCTACAGAACTACCATACGGAATAGAAGGCTTTTTCACATGGGTCATATAAAAAAGAGTTCTCAGTTTAGAAGCAATAGGCTTTCAGGGAACTGTGTATTAATGGATAGAAAGGAGAGTGCAGATACAGTAAGGGGCTGAAATTGGGGTGATGTAATTACTAGAGTACCACTGAGCTACTGCTAGGGCCACTGCCCTTCCTACTTTTTTAAGAATTGATGATTGAGTTTCTAGACAGGTCAACTAGCCCGATGTGCAGATGATCCTACAATAGGAG